ATTTCTGCTTCTTCTGACTGGTTGTTTATTAATAAGAAGGCCTCTGACTTGTGCATTGATTTTATATCCTGCTACCTTGCTAAACTGGTTGATGGTTTTGATTAGTTTTTCTGTGGAGTTTTTTGGGTTTTCCATGTAGTTTAACATTTCATCTGCAAATAAGGATAGTTTTACTTCTTCTTTCCATATTTGGATTCCTTGTATGTCTTTTTCCTGTCTTATTGCTCTTGCTAGAACTTCCAATGTTATGTTGAAGAGCAGTGGCAATAGTAGACACCCTTGTCGTGTTCCTGATCTCAAGGGAAAGGATTTCAGCTTTTCTCCATTGAGGATAATATTGGCTGTGGGTTTTTCATATATGGCTTCTATCATGTTGAGGTATGTTCCTTCTATTCTGAAGATTTTGAGGGCTTTAAACATAAATGGGTGTTGAACTTTGTCGAATGTCTTCTCCACATCTATTGATATTATATGGTTTTTATTTTTCTTTCGGTTGATGTGATGGATTATATTAATTGATTTTCTGATGTTGAACCATCCTTGTGCTCCTGGGATAAAGCCCACTTGGTCATGGTGTCTTATTCTTTTAATGCATTGTTGGATCTGTTGGCTAAGATTTTGTGGAGGATTTTTGCATCAGTGTTCATTAGGAAGATTGGTCTGAAGTTTTCTTTGTTAGGTTTTGGTATTAGTGTGATGCTGGCTTCATAGAAAGTATGTGGTAGATTTCCTTCTTTTTCGATTTTTTGGATGAGTTCGTGTAGCATAGGTACTAGTTCTTTTCTGAACGTTTGGTAAAATTCATTTGTAAATCCATCTGGCCCTGGCTTTTATTTTGGGGGAGGGTTTTGATTACTTCTTCAATTTCCTTGCTTGTAGTTGGCCTGTTTAGTTGTTCTATTTCTTCTTTATCTAGCTTTGGGTGGTTGTAGAATTGTAGGAATTTGTCCATTTCTGCCAAATTGTTCAACTTGTTTGCATATAGTTGCTCATAGTATTCTCTGATTATTCTTTTGATTTCTGCTGG